TGAATCGAGACCTAATCGTTCTAGAGGGAATCGAGAGAAATCGAAGAAAAAAAATCCCCCACCCCTAGTGTTGAAGGCAGAGCTGAAGTCCACAAACAGGATCCTGGCGTAGGTTCCTGGGGAGTCCAGATGCTGGAGGATGTAGTGGAGGGCCATGTTGACAGCATCGTCCACAGATCTGTTGGCTCTGTAGGCGAACTGCAGGGGGTCCAGGAGGGGGTCAGTGAGGGACTTCAAGTGGGTCAGGACTAGCCGTTCAAAAGACTTCATGAGTACAGAGGTCAGGGCGAAGGGCCTGTAGTCATTAAGTCCTGTGATCCTGGGCTTCTTGGGAACAGGGATGATGGTGGAGGCCTTGAAGCAGGCTGGTACATGGCATGTCTCTTTCAATTTGAAGGTAATCCTCCTTCTTCATTATCCCATTTACTCTCTGAAAAGCATTAGTTCCATTGGCAGCAAAACAGCCCCACAGCATAATACTACCACCACCGTGCTTGACGGTAGGCATGGTGTTCTTGGGGTTAAAGGCCTCACCTTCTCCTCTAAAGATATTGAAAGGGAATATACATACAGCAACATGAATTAGCAATTTTGATGACTTAGTTGTGTCAATGAAATGAGCTTCATAACATGGCCTATTAACTTCTTGTGAGTGATTATGAGTGACTGGCCACAATGCCCAGCAATGTGTTTGGAGGAGAAAAGGTGAGGCCTTTAACCCTAAGAGCACCATGCCTGCCGTCAAGCACGGTGGCGGTAGTATTATGCTGTGGGGCTATTTTCCTGCCAATTGAGCCGGTGCTTTACCGGAGTAAATTGGATGATGAAGGAGGATTACCTTCAAATTCTTCAAGATAACCTAAAATCATCAGCCCGACGGTTGGGTATTGGGCGCAGTTGGTTCAACAAAGTGTTCCAACAGGACAATGACTCCAAACACACATCAAAAGTGGTAATAGAATGGCTAAATCAGGCTAGAATTAGGGTTTTAGCATGACCTTCCAAAGTCCTGACTTAAATCCCATTGAGAACATGTGGACAATGCTCCACGTCAGAAAGCCATCAAATTTAACTGAACTGCACAAATTCTGTCAAGAGGAGTGGTCAAAGATTCAACAAGAAGCTTGCCAGAAGCTTGTGGATGGCTAGCAAAAGTGCCTAATTGAAGTGAAAATGGCCAAGGGACATGTAACCAAATATTAGCAATGCTGTAGGTATATTTTTGACCCAGCAGATGTCACTTTTTCTGTTAACCCGTAATAAAGTCATAAAAGAACCAAACTTCATGAATGTGTTTTGTGAGAAAGAAGTATCTGTTCCAATCACTCACAGAGAAAAATCAGACTTGTAGAAATAACTGGAAACTCAAGAGAGCCATGACATTATGTTCTTTACTTTAAGTGACCACAACTGCATGCGTGATGGTGTAATTAAACTTGTCTCTCTGTCACGCGTGCACGTCATGCAAGGCACTTTGATAAATTCTCTAGACACACAGTGTTGGGAGAGGTGAGGGTACCTCTAGGACAGCTCAACATCTCCTATCCTCTTGAGCTACAGGAAGATCTGAAGACACCCCAGAAGGTACAGTAAGACACCATGTGTGCAAACACACACACACACACACACACACACACACACACACACACACACACACACACACACACACACACACACACACACACACACATGTCAAATAGGAAGTTTCTTTTCACATCTTTCAGTGGAGAGGAATGAAATTTATACTAATTTAAATATTGAATGCTTAAAGGGATCACTAAACATGTGACTGTAGCAGCCTTGTTAATAGAAGAACGATAACCTGCTTCTTAAACTCAAACAAGTACATATGGGTAAAGTGAATTCGCAATCTGTATTGGTATACCTAATCTGTGTGCAAAATTATTTTCAAATCGGGATTGCTTTTTTATTTGTATTCATATTGATTGATATATTGGTCTTTTTATTTTTTTATATCGTTATTTCCAATTTCCGTAAATACCACTACCACCACTAAATCAAAGAAATTCTAGAGCCAATGAAATCTTTTAAATTACATGTTTACTGTAGAAAGTTTCTTTTTGAGTCCCATATTTCATACTGCTCATTTACTGTTCTTCTTCTTTTTTTACCTGTCCATGCTGTTAAGCATGGTCTGGTAAAAAAAAAACATCCTATAGAAACAAAGCTTATACAGAATTGTTTCTCTTCGCATTATCGGGACAGGATCTCGTAGGAGAGGTGGGAAGTTTCTTCCCACCTCTCAGAGGCTTGACGTTGGACTACTTAAGGTCAGAACAGTCCTCACAGAAATATGCTCAGATAGAGGTAAATATCAAACACCAATATAAGATTCAAGACATGGTCATAGTGTTGTCATACATGTAAAGTCCCAGATGTGCCTTCTCTGTGTTGTACAGCCCTATATGCCAGGATCAGTGTGCAGTGCAACCAGCACAAATTGAGGTACCAAAAAACCTCTCCTGTGGCCCATTCACTGGTAACTGTCTTCAATGACTAACTGTCTCATGTTCTCCCTGCCAGAGTTTCCCCTGGAGCAGTGTAAAATATCAGTTTCTGTGTACGAGACTCACATGACTAGGAAATTACCCAAAAATCTAATTGGACAGTTGACTTTGGGTAAGGAAAGAAATTCACAGGACAAGCATTGGAGCTTAATGATGTGCTCAGTTCGCCAGCCTAATAGCAAAGTGGCATGGCATACTGATTTGACTCATATGTAAATACTCACCGGCAGGGGCTTGATGTTCACACCTGTTTGCATATGACTGAAAGCTGTATTGCTCGTGTGTCGGCCTAAGGGATCTGTGCCTGCGTAGCAGTATGCCAAACATAAACACCTCTCCTTCCTGACGCCTTAGTGGTAGAAAGATCTTTCTGTTCCAATCCGGTCAGCTTAACGGCCAAAATGAAACTTTAGGTTGCTCATTCTACATGAACATTTTTTTTTTGTTATCAACCGCTCTTTTTAACTCCAATTCTCATCACATTGAGAGTTTTGTGGCAATTTTTAACACTGATAATTGTACATTTATAAAATTGCCCGATGCAGGAGGAACAACGAGAGACTAGAGATGCACCAACACAACTTATGCCGATGAGATGAACTGTGTGCTGTTTGGATTTTATTTTATTTTTTAATTCCGGTGTAAGTTAGATCAGAAAACTATTTATTGCAAAGTTGGTCAAGCCGCTGGTATATATATATATATATACACTAGCAATTACAACTGCTGACACACTAACAAGATAACAAACTAACCTGGAAGTCAACTTGCTGCCAGTTCATCATCTCCATGCTCACAATTATGGAGTTAAACACATTAAAACAAGGGTGTCGAAATTTTAGGTAAGGGGCCATACACTACCCACTATGATCTCAGGTGGGTGCTGCTGCCTGGAGTGACGCACGCAAGGAGGTGTGTAAAGGCACGCAAGGGACACACTAGGGGGGGTCTTGGGTCTGCGTCGCTCTGAAAACGCAGAAGCATAAACTAGGCTTAAGGCTGATGAAGGGCTAGCCCAAGGCTGAATGTATTTTAGGAAGCTGAAATTATGTCACTCATTTATCTTTATCAGTGATTTGCTAAACTGCTTCTTAGACCGCTTTGGGACCGTGCCGAAGCCCAGCTGAGACATGCGAACATGCAGAGAGCATGCAGGAAAAGTATATGTTTTGCGCATATATCTTAATTTACAAATATTACTGGGTATATTCCGTGTTTCAAAAACACAAATAGAGACATATTGACTATTTGTTGATGAAATAATTATTTGTTAGTATAATCTTTTTTTTTGTTGTTGCTCATTGTGGGTTCACGCCCCATTGCTCTCTACGTACCAGCCGCCACTTGTCTTTAACCTTGAACTGGCAATGGGCAGTTCAAAAAGGAATTTACAACCCACAGCAGTGGTGTCTGTGGCTTGACCAATCAACCCTCAGAGCTGTTTCACCGAGAGAGAGAAATCACACCTCGGTGTGAAGATAAATTCCTTCCGGGGGTTTTATGTTCTATCTTGTTGTACAAGTACTTTTATTTCAAGCAACGCAGTAATCACCTTCAACATGTATGGCATTGTCATTGTATTGCCCCTATTGCCAGATCCTGGATGCTCTATTTATGTAAACAACTGCAGTGGCCTCTACCTGGTGGTTGGGGGTCATATTTCCCTTATCATTACATCCCCCTATTAGAAAATCACGTTGAAATGTGGTCTAAACATAGACGTCTTTTCAACGTCTACGAATAGACGTTGAAACAACTTTCACTTTTAAACCATTTTGCAACGTCTTTTCAACGTCGGGCATAGACGTCTTTTAAATGTCTTTTCAACCAAAAAATGCTCACTGGGCCGTATTAAAAAATCACGTTGAAATGTGGTCTAAACATAGACGTCTTTTCAACGTCTATGAATAGACGTTGAAACAACTTTCACTTTTAAACCATTTTGCAACGTCTTTTCAACATCGGGCATAGACGTCTTTTAAACGTCTTTTCAACCAAAAAATGCTCACTGGGTAATGAAAAACTGATAATTCTACATTTGGAAAGATATTTCAATATTAACACCAAAGTTTGTGTGTTTCATCAGAGCGCGGTAATATTATTTAGTCCATTCAGAAGGGTAGCTATGTTCTTCTACCGTCTAAAACCAACACAAAAGCATAGCTGTTTACTAGGAATACAGACATTCATAGAAAACACAGATTGAGCCAATGCTTTCTCTCTCATGTTTTACAAATCAAAAGGGCAACAGGGTATGCAGAGGTACAGTCTCAACTTGATTTGAACATTGACATTATAAAGGGTCAACAATGCCATTTCCATGTACACTTCAACATTCGTTGCTGTCCCATGAAGCCCGGTCTTCGCTTAGTATATCTCTACTTATTAAAAAAAGAACGTGGATACCAAAGTTCTCAGTCACTTATTTCTCAGGAACTACAATGCAATGAAGGAAAGAGGCAGATGGCAAAATTGAGAGGGAAAACTTTTATTATATTACTTTACAGCATATTTCACATCATATTATATGATAAGAAACCACTGATCCGGAAGTGTCCCTTACTCGGCTGCTTCTTTGGCCTAAAAACACAAAGTTTAATAAGATTTAAATAAAACATAATATACAGAAACTTTCTGTCACATTAACTGGAATTGATTTTGATTGAATTGTATTGTCACCTTGCCAGTGTCACGACTTTTTGCTCTCATCTTGTTGACCTGAGACTCAGCAATGTCTGCACGCTCCTCAGCCTCTTCCAACTCATGCTGGACCTTTCTGCACTTGGACAGATGAGTATTGGCCTGTTCCTCCTGAAATAACACAAATAGAGTTTGGAACACTTCTTAAATGTAAATGTATGGCGAAGTATTTTTCTTAATTATATAAATATATTACATAACTGTTTACATTGCCAAAATCCCAAACATGTAATACTCTTTTGTATGTATAATGATATGGCTATCGTACTTGATACCTGACTTTTGTTCCAATCATTCTCATTAACAATGTATTTTTTAGCATTTTCTTTTTCTTCTTATAATGTCAGTTTTCTTGATATTAGTGCTGTTAAGTATCAGTTTTAGTTTTTCTAAATTACATGTCATTGTGACTCTGCATCTGTTATTTTAGTCACTTATATTTGGTCAATACAGTTGTACTGAAATTAAAATGCATTTCCTGTTATTTGTCTATTATGCAATAAAACTTTCCATTAAGAAATTGATCTGTACAAAGAACATAATAAAGGATGTTACAAAATCCTTCTAACTGTATAACTGACATAGAAAACTAAAATGTTTAGTCCTTACCGCCTCCTCAGCCTGCCTCTTGTAGGCCTTCACCTTCAGTTGCAACTTGTCAACCAGATCCTGCAGTCTGGAGACATTTTTCTTGTCCTCTTCAGTCTGTAATAGAAGGTGTTGAGGTGAAAATATAAATATTTGAAATGGTTAATAGTAATGGAGAATTTGGTCTTTTTTATTTTTTACTATCAATGACTGTACCTGATAGGTGAGCTCCTTTACTCTCCTCTCATATTTGCGAACACCCTTGACGGCGTCAACTCCACGTCTCTGCTCAGCCTCAACCTCTGTCTCAAGCTCACGCACCTTCAAAAAACGAGAAAACGATTATTTCTCTTTATTGTTTCAAAGTCTTGATTTATCTGTACAAATCATAAGAGGACTTTCTTACCCTGGACTCCAGTTTCTGGAGCTGCTTCTTGCCACCCTTCATGGCCAGGTTCTCAGCCTCATCCAGGCGGTGCTGCAGGTCCTTAACAGCGACCTCCAGATTCTTCTTCATCCTCTCAAGGTGAGCACTCGTGTCTTGCTCCTTCTTCAGCTCTTCAGCCATCATAGCAGCCTGGAGAAGACATCATAACATGTTGTTTGATAAAAACTAACAAAGTACATTTGAGTAAAAGGAACAACAATGGAATTCAACCCTACATCAGTGATGGCCTTCTTGGCCTTCTCTTCTGCATTCCTTGCTTCCTGAACAGTGTCATCCACTTCACCCTGGACCTGGACCAGGTCACTCTCAAGCTTCTTCTTGGTGTTCATAAGGCTTGTGTTCTAAAAGATACAACAATTTTATTGTTGTTACATTATTGTAAATGTCTTTATACAATTGGATTATTGAAGAAGTTACGGGAGTTTGTTCACCTGAGAGTGCAAAAGTCCAACACGCTCACTGGCGTCCACCAACTCCTGCTCCGCTGTTTTGCGGCTCCTCTCTGTCTGTTCCAGAGCAGCTCTAAGTTCTTCAATTTCAGCCATCATGAGACCGTTCCTGCGATCCACCATGGCAGCTTGTTCCTTGAAGTCTTCCTGGGCTCTAACAGCATCGTCAAGGTGCAGTTGTGCATCCTAGTGTAAACATATTGTGAGATTATTCCTATGAATGACATCATATCCCTTAACTGACCATGGTTTGTGGAGCAACTCTGTGTCTAACGATACCTTTAGCTGTGTCTGCACGTTCCTTAACTGCTTCTGGGACTCAGCAGCCTGGCGATTGGCGTGGCTCAGCTGAATCTCCATTTCATTCAGGTCTCCCTCCATCTTCTTCTTGATCCTCAGAGCATCGTTCCTGCTCCTGACCTCAGCGTCCAAAGTGCTCTGCATCGAGTCAGTGACTCTCTGGCTGTTCCTCTTGATCTGCTCCATCTCCTCATCTTTCTCTGCCAGCTTCCTGTCCACTTCGCCCTTAATCTGGTTTAGCTCCAGCTGGACACGGAGTATCTTAGACTCCTCGTGTTCCAGAGTTCCCTGAAAACATCAATGAATGAAATATGAATCTCTACTTATGAATATGTTTGTCAAATTATTTAGACAATTATTCAGAGAATCTTTTTTTGATTCCTAATGTTACCTCAGCTTCTTCAAGAGCTGTCTGGATCTCAGACTTCTCTGTTTCCACCTGCTTCTTGGACTTCTCCAGCTCATGGATGCTCTTGCCAGTCTCACCAATCTGTTCAGTGAGATCTGAGATCTCCTCTGCCGATAGATACATTTGTTGAGTGTAAACATAATACACATACTGTTTTCTAACAGTTATACTTGGGTTGAATACAATTCAACATTTACATGATGTAGAACTCACGTTGTAGGTTCTTGTTTTCCCGCTTCATTGTCTCCAGCTGATCCAGAGATTCCTCATAAGAGTTCTTCATCTTGAACAGCTCAGTGCTGAGAGAACGAGCCTCCTTCAATGCTCCCTCAAGCTCGGCCTGACCCTCCTCGTACTTTTGTTTCCAGTCTGCCAACACCTGAATAACACAATTACAACAGTTCAGTACTTTCTGTAGTACTATAAAGACATATATATATGATATATATATATATATATATATATATATATATATGTCATTGTTCGTATGGCTTGGCCACACAAGGTAAAGTATGCTACCTTGTCAAAGTTCCTCTGCTTCTTGTCAAGGTTGGCAGCGAGACCGTTGGCCCTCTCCACATCGATCATGAGGTCCTCCACCTCACTCTGGAGCCTCTGTTTGGTTTTCTCAAGAGAGGCGCACTTGGAGTTCACGGCCTCAATCTGTTCCTCAGCCTCCTGAAGGCGCTGAGCCAGCTTTTTCCTGTTTTGGAAAATATAGAACAGTTACTTGGATCTTTAGTAACCAGAACTGTGAGTTCTTCGGACACTTGAGACGCTAAATAATTTTAAAGGTAAGAGTGTGTAATTATTGAAGGAATAGGTGTTGGATAAGGGCGGGGTCAAGTTAAAAATACTGTTTCATGAATGTTACTCACTTGGATTCCTCAAGCTCCTCAGTGCGCTGAATTGCATCAGTTTCATACTTGGATCTCCACTGAGCCACCTCACCGTTGGCCTTGGACATTCCACGCTGAAGCTCAGCCTTGGCCTCCTGCTCCTCCTCAAACTGCTCCCTCAGCAGATCACAGTCATGGCGAGCAGATTGCATTCCATGGGCAAGAGCATTCTTGGCCTGTTTATAAAGGTTTTTCATGAATATACACAATTTCTAAATTCTGAAAGAAATAAAACCTATACACACTTACTCAATACCCTCTTACTTTAACTTCCTCTTCAACCTGTCTCTTGAGCTCCTCAATCTGCTGAGTGAAGGCCTGTTTGCCTCTGGTCAGCTGGGAGACAAGGGCTTCTTTCTCCTCAAGTTGACGGCTGAACTCACCTTGGGTCATGATACATTCGTTAGTTAATTTCTTAATAAGATGCACAACAGATCATTCAAGAATAACTTCTACATACCATTTTCTGTGAGGAGACGTGCTTTCTGTGCATTTGAGTCATTGATCTGACGAACATTTTCATCATTCTTGGTCTTCAGTTCGCTGAATTGGTCCTCAAGAGTACGGCACATCTTTTCAAGATTTCCCTAATGAGTTAAAGAGAGATGAGACCATTGATCAGTTTGTATTCACTAGATTGAATGCATTATTTAAAACATCAACTTGGGTACTAAATAGTATGTCATAAATTTTGTACCTTTGCTTTAGCAACATTCTCCATGTTGCTGGAGAGGTCATCGATCTCCATCTTGTATTCACTCTTTTCCTTCTCAAGCTTCTGCTTCACACGTTGGAGGTTGTCGATTTGCTCACCCAGCTCAGCAACGCTGTCAGCCTGCTTCTTGCGGAGAGCAGAAGCAGTGGATTCATGCTGCAGAGTGGATTCTTCAAGGTCTCGACGGAGCTTCTGGAACTCAGCCTCACGCTTCTTGTTCATCTCAATCTGAGCAGCAGTCGCACCACCGGCCTCTTCCAGCCTCTCACTGATCTCCTCAAGTTCCCTGGAGAGGTCAGCTCTCTGCTTCTCCACCTTGGCACGAGCAGCACGCTCAGCCTCAATCTCTTCCTCCAGTTCTTCAATGCGGGCCTGTTGAATGTAGGCGTTATCTCTTTCAACGAGCTTTCACTTTTGATAAACACAAATGTATGACATGGGTGCAGTAATGTTTTGTGAAACACAATGTCACCTGAAGCTCCTTGATCTTCTTCTGAAGCTGAGCACCTAGTGACTGCTCATCTTCAATCTTGCTAAGGAACTGACTGATTTCAAAGTCCTTCCTGAGATAATTACAAATAAAAAACACTTAGTCGATGCGGTTGACTATCATTTTAAACAGAACACAACATAGTTGTTTTCAAATTCAAAAAAGTACATTACTTTTTAATTTTCTCATCAGACTGCTGTTTGTCATTCTCAAGATCCATGACAGATTCCTGGGATAGTTTTAGATCACCCTCAAGCTTTCTCTTGGCTCTCTCAAGGTCCATACGAAGCTTCTTCTCTTGCTCCAGAGAACCTTCAAGCTGAACAAATACAATGAGTCTTTAAATCGTAAGTTAAAGAGAAATCTTGTTTTTTCTCTGTCTGTTCGGCAACTTACATCGTCCACTTGCTGCTCAAGCTTGGTCTTGGCCTTGGTCAGAGTGTTGACTTTGTCTTCCTCTGCCTGCAGGTCATCAAGAGTCTGCTGGTGAGCCTCCTGAAGGGCTTTCTTTTCCTTGGTTAACTTGGCAATGCTCTCATCCTGAGAGGCCATCTCCTCGGTCAGGTTCTTGACCTAAGTGTGCAAGAAAGATCTCGTCAATAATCGCTCATCATTATTGTTTTACTTGACAATGTAATAAGATTATAATTTACAAACCTTGTTCTCAGTGGCATGTTTCTCCTTCTCCACTTTGGCCAAGGTAAGCTCCAGGTCATCAATATCCTTCTTGAGCTCAGAGCATTCATCCTCCAGCTTTCTCTTTTTGGCAGTGAGCTCAGCATTGATTTCCTCTTCATCCTCCAGTCTCTCAGTTGTCTCTTTGAGTTTGGCCTCCAGCTGAATCTTGCTCTTGATAAGACCCTCACATCTTTCCTCAGCATCTGAGAGATTATCTCCTTCCTAGTCCATTGAATTAATATTGACATTAAGCACACAAAAACATGAAAAAGAAAAACTGTCTGATGAGGTGTACTCACCGATGCTACTTGCAGCTGCAGATCGTTCTTCTCCTGCAGAAGGGACACCATCTTCTCCTCCAATTCCTTCTTCTTGGCCAGGGCGGCAGCTAAGTCAGTTTTCATCTTATCATAGTTCTCCTTCATGTTTGCCAGCTCCTTCTCAGTTTCAGCAGTCTTCAGCAGTGGCTTAATCTTGTAGTACACCTTCATCCATGGCCAGTGTTTCACATTCATGAATGAGCGTATATTGTACTGGATGGTATAAATGGCTTCCCTGCAGAATGGAAATAGCTGTTATGAACATTGTGTCTGATTTTTGTATTACTTCATTCAAAATGAACTGTTTTTAATGTGCCTCCTCTCTGTCATCTTCACGTATTCCTTTCTCATGACGTAACCTCTGCACAAAGCCTGAGTCATGGTGACCAGTGATGCAAGTTTTTCATCTCTCATCTCCTCAAGGGTACCCAGGAGACCGGCCTTGAAGAAGACCTAAACAAACAAATGATGAATTATCAGAAGGATACAATTTTTAAATGAATACTAAAAACTCCTCAGAGCTGCTGTGTCTGAATGGCCCCTGAAAATGAATTTGTTCTGGTCTCTAACAGCGTAAAAACGAAACAAAATGGCTTCCTCACACACTCAGCCTTTGTCCACGCTTAACAGTTTTTTATTTGCAAAAAATGACATTGGTTTACTGTCTTGCACACCTTATATTTCCCCGGATAATGCCTCTAATCTCCAGGGCAGTGAATTAAATTGTACTTGTAACGTCACTCATCTATAGCTAATTGTAAATTGGCTTATTTGAGGAAATTGCACTTTCTTGTTTCTTGTTCTCCTGAGTTTGTTCCCTATGGTTGAATGCACTTATTGTACGTCGCTTTGGATAAAAGCGTCCGCTAAATGACATGTAATGTAATGTAATTATATACTCTGTAATGTTAATATTGGACAGTCCAAAGTGAAGCAGTTCTTGATCAATTGGGGACCCTATCGACAAGTGAACAAGTATTAAGGTATAACCACTTGAGCCATGACATATCCCTGACCATCCACTTATAAATGAGCATACACTATTTAGCAAAATGCAAGAATAACTTTGGAAGGCCCAATAAAAGTGGCAGACAATAAACAACTGAACCTACTTGATAATTAATATTTGGTTAAATAAGGAAAGCAAAGTGCTTACCTTTGTGTGTCCAAATTTATACTCATCATGAGGAACATCAATTGACCCAAGCAACTTCTCTGAAGCCTTCTTGTTGTCAATGAACTGGCCCTCAGGAATGACACTGGCGTTCAGCACCTTGTACCTTTTAGAGAGAGTTAATTGTTAATTTGTAAACTTTGACTCAGATTTTGATAATCAACAATAAAATGATGTATGAAAATATCCATTGATACCTCTGCTTGAAGTCAGCATAGAGAATTCTGCTCGGGAAACCTTTCCTGCAGATTCTGATACCCTCCAGCACACCGTTACACCGGAGCTGGTGGATAACCAGGAAGTTCTCCATGAGACCTGGGAAAAAGTTTTTAAAGTAATTTATTCAAAAGTTTTTCTATAGAATGATGTAGACCATGACAACAAGCGAAAATAAAGCCACTCTTAAAAGATTGTTTGATTAAGTTGTCTGTGTACCTGGAGTCTTAGACTCATTGGGAATCAGGCAGCGCACAAAGTGAGGATGGGTGCTCCTCAAGTTAGTCATCAGCTTGCCCAAGTTCTCCTGTGGATCCAAAATGGTGGAAACTGTTAGTTTGGTCATAAACTAAGATACATATGGTAGGTTTACAATTTTAAATCTTACCCTAAACTGTGAAGACACAGTCTGCATAGAACCACCCTTCTTCTTGCCTCCCTTCTTGCTGCCACCAACCTCTGTTGATCAATTTAAGTAGAGACGGGATTTTTTAGACCGAAAAATACATTAACATGAAAACATGCAGCAGTTGAAAATCTACAGTATTCATAACCTTACAATGTGTTTTAGTTTACTCAGGTTACTATCATACCTTCTACTACTGGGGGATACAGGACAGGCAGCAGTTTCACAGAGGATTTCTGGTACAGCTGGATGACAGACTCATTCAGTGGATCCTTGTTCTTGTCCAGCCAGCCAGTGATATTGTAGTCCACAGTACCAGCATAGTGCACCAGGGAGAAGTGGGCCTCAGCCTTGCCCTTGGTAGGCTTTGGCTTCTCAAATGCTTTGTTTTTGCCAAGATGCTGGTCATACAGCTTGTTCTTGAAGGATGTGTCTGTTGCCTTGGGAAACATGCACTCCTCTTCAAGGATAGAGAAGATACCCATGGGCTTGAAGAAAGTGGGAAGAAGTCTGTGATTAGGATACACATTAAGTCAACTTAAATAAAATGATATAGAACTAAATGAACTGATTACCTTTTCAATCAGCTCAATGCAGGCAGCCAAGTCCATGCCAAAGTCAATAAACTCCCAGATAATACCCTCCTTCTTGTACTCCTCTTGCTCCAAGACAAACATGGTGTGGTTGAAGAACTGTTGCAGTTTCTCATTGGTGAAGTTGATGCACAGCTGCTCCAGTGTGTTGAACTACAAGGACACACATGATCACCAAAAGGTCTTTCTGTCATGTATGAAGATGTTTAAGCATTAAAAGCATTAGCAACTGAATTGTTTAATTTTTAGCTTACATCAAAGATTTCAAAGCCAGCAATATCCAGGACTCCAATGTAGAACTGCCTTGGTTGTTTAGTGTCCAACATTTGGTTGATGCGGATGACCATCCACAAGAACATCTTCTCATAAATAGACTTGGCCAGGGCAGGTACAGAGTTCATCACCTAAATAAAAATACAGGTCTAACTTCATAAGTTTACTGTTTTATAAAATAGTGGAATATTAGTGAATTAAAGAATAATAATCTATCTGAACAACTATTTGAACAAGTTTAATCCATGTTTTTTCAAATGGTGAATATGGATATTTTATGTTTACCTGAGGTACAGTCTGTCCCTTGGTGACATACTCATTTCCGACCTTCACTCGTGGATAGCACAGGGCTTTCAGCATGTCAGCAGAGTTCAGACCCAGCAAGTAGGCAACCTTGTCCGCTTCTGAAAACACAACAAATGACAACAGTGATTTCCATCATGACATGAACATAATCCAGTCTTATTAAGAACTCGATTCATCTTTAAACGGTTGTTCCCAAGCTACTCACCCTCTGTGCCATCAGGCTCAGCCTGCTCCTCACGCTGCTTTTGCTTGAACTTCATGTTACCATGGTGGAGCACTGCACCAGTCATCTTGTAGATACTCAGCTTCTCTTCATTTGAGAAGCCCAGGATATCAATAGCATTCTGAATTTAAAAGATATGTCCATGCAATCCTTTTAGAAAATGAACTTAAACAAACGGTATTTATTTAGCATGCATTGTACAAAATAAACTTAAATAGTTTATAGTGACAAGCACTCACATCAGTGGCTTCCAGCTCAATTTTGTCATCGATGCTGGCCACAGTGATCTGACCCATGCTGCACATGGGGAAGTCGTAGGGGTTGGTTGTAATGAGACACAAGTCTGGTGATCAAAAAAAGGTTAAAAAGGTTGATACATCTGTTGGAACTAAACTGTAACTGTAAGTATCTGAAGTACTGTAACATCTCAGTCTGTTTACCAAGCAGCTCGGGTTTGTGGGCAGTCATCATCTGGTAGAAGATGTGGTAGCCTCTCTCATCAGGAAGCTGGAATGTCACTCTAGACTTTTCCAGCAGATCTACAAATTGTTTATTAGTCCAATTCATACCAATACTCAATTTGAGTAAATTGTATTGAGTAGAAGTATTTTTACTTACATGTCTCAATATCAGCACTAGCCAGTTTGCCAGTTGTGCTGAAATGGATTCTGATAAATTTACCCTGTTTGGAAGCAAGACATTTTCAATGTCGCTATACATGGACAATCAGTAACAAGGCCTTACACATGTGTAGAAATTGTTTCCTACTTACAAAACGAGAGGAGTTGTCATTCCTCACAGTTTTGGCGTTACCATAGGCCTCCAGCAGAGGATTGGCAGCAATAATCTGATCCTCCAGTGACCCCTAAAATCCAGTGTTAGAAGTGGTTTTAGAAAATTACTTTGGAAAGTGATCCATTGATAAAGAACACCACATTGTAATCGTCAGGAACATACCTTTGATGTGTCCCTCTTCGGTCCACCAACTGAGATAGTTGCAAAGTACTGGATGACACGCTTGGTGTTCACAGTCTTCCCTGCACCAGATTCTCCACTAGGCATAGACAAAGACGTATAAGAATTTGATCAAGATATTTGACTATTTTCAACGGAGTTAACAATTTTAAATTAGCCAAACGTACGTGATCAAGACGGACTGGTTCTCCCTATCTGTTAAATAAGAAACAAAGGAATTAACTAGGTTTCACTGAAATATAATGATATATATATTTACTGTTTATTTGTCTTATTGTCCAATGCTGTGCATCACCCGCCATTTCAAATTCCTTGAATGTCAAACTTATTTTGGCAAAAAATGTTTCCCCATTCCGATACTCTATGTTGTAATGATAATAACTTACCAGTTGCCATAAACTGAAAAGCATTGTCAGAGACAGAGAAGATGTGGGGTGGAGCCTCCATACGCTTCTTGCCTCTATAGGCAGATACACATTCAGCATCGTACACTGGTAGCCACTTGTAGGGGTTCACAGTGGCACAGAACAGTCCAGAGTAGGTCTGAAAGTGATCATAGAGATACAACATTTAGCATTATTTGTCCTAAAAATTAAAGTCCCTTTTACCTGTTATTTAGATTATCTTACGTAGATCATCCATGCTGCATAACGCTCCTTGAGATTATACAGCACAGACGCTTCATTGAGATGGGTCATCATGGCCATGTCCTCAATCTTGTCATACTTAGGAGGATTCATTGGAAAGATTTCATCTTCTTTAACTGTCCTCTCCTGTAACAAGACATTTGTCATAATTAGAACTGATCTTATTGAAACCCCAACTGACTATGATTTGATGTTACCAACCTCCTCAGTGGTCAGGACTTTGACAGTGACTTTGCCACCCTCTTTCTTGATGACTTTGGCCTTCAAATACAGCTCTTTAGTATCTTGCACATAGACGGCACTCTTGGCATCAAATGGTGCGCTTTGAGCCTCAATCCTCTCCCTCTCTGGTTTACGAAGGTAAATGGCAGCTTTGCCATAAGTGGCCATCTCCGCGTCCGTACTCATGGTGGCGCCTTATGCCTGTTAAATAATTACATTGGAACTGCAATGACTATAGAATGACTTTACTTGAAATACATGAACAAATCAACATATCCTTGTATGGTTACCGATGGGTTTTAACTTTACAACTACGCTAACTCAAGTCTTGCATTTGAATGTTACAGAGAATACATTTGAACATGTTGAGTTTCACCAAAATCTTTGGATGGAAAACCACAGATCTTAAATGGATCAGAAACTTTTTGCATATGTTTCAAATGCTTGCAGAGAAAAATTATGAATTGAATAGTCATCCTTACCTAACACCTTCTCTCGTGACAATAATCCCCAATCCTGATAAAAACAGTTTTGTTGTTAGAGTAGGTTTTTAAAAATATGCATACAAATTTGCCATTGCTTCTATTGGCATAAGTATTTGTTAAAAAAGATAACACATTCAAATTAGCCCAATTTTAAGAGAAGAACGTATTACCAGAGGCACGAACTCAGGTCTTCAGTCTCACAACTTGTCCTGTCCTTGAGTTGCCTTTATACTCAATCTTGTTTTGATGACACAGTAAAAGTTAAATATGGTACACCAAATGTGGTAAGGCAGACAGCCCATGATAAAAGATGGGTTGTAATTATATCACGTGATGTTTCAGGTTACACTTTATATGGCCGGGGCTTTATCATTACTTCAACAGAAGTTTATTTTAGGCTCATGACTGCCTCTCCACTCTCAAGAAGGTAAAGTCATTTAAAAAAGTATTGTGTTTATTAACTGTTATTTTTTTTAATTTGTAGAATCTTACTGCGCTATTTAAATAAAATAACATCAGTAAGTCAGATTAATTAGAATATATTCAGTACCAGTCAAGTTTGCAGTTTCTTATTGAGTTGAATGTGAAAATGTATAAATGTTAAAAATATATTACTATATATATATACTTTTATATATACTATATATACTTTTTTAAATAATTAAGTTAATTTCAAAATATAAGGCACTATAGTACTAAACAAGCACAGTAAATATCTGAAATGTAAGACATTATTTATGCAGAAAAAGAGATCATCAATTTTAAAACAAAGAGTTTTAAAACACAGGACGCTCTCTGTTAAAAGATCCTATGAAAGTCATTTTACTCATTATTTACAAAACGCGGGGCCAGATTCGTTTTGATCACGGTCAAAAGTTAGTGCTTCTTGAATGCTTTAGGTATTTGAACTGTGTAATTCAAAAGTATTGTCATCCAAAGATGGTTTCAAAGTGAAAATATATATTTAAGAGACTTGGAGGACACAACTAGATAAAAACAACACAGACAATGCAAGTCAAGATCAAAAACTACTTTATTATTGGGGATTTCACATCATATTTTATGATTAGAAAAAAACATCAGCCAAAGCACTACTCAGCTGCCTCTTTTCCCTGTAGAAAAAACAGACAATGAAAAAATATACTTCATATGCACCAAGATGCACATCATACTTTGCCATTGTTTTGTCCTAATTCTATGAACTTTTTTTTATTCATGACTAAATGTTAAGTGAAAATCATTAAAAAAGGAATTTTATTTTATAAAATGTTCATTAAGCTGAATGTTAGTTACCTTGCCAGAGTCACGGCTTTTTGCTCTCAGCTTGTTGACCTGGGACTCTGCAATGTCTGCACGCTCCTCAGCCTCCTCCAGCTCGTGCTGGACCTTCCTGCATTTGGATAGATGAGCATTGGCCTGTTCCTCCTGGAAAACAAAAAAAAACAAATCAAATCATATATTTTTGTACAAATCATACATACAAAAATATATATATCGTTGGAAAAGACCTAGTGGTCTAGTGTTCATGAAATAACTATGACATAGTAGTCATTTTGCTTTTAAAAAAAATAAAAAATTCAGTCCTCACCGCCTCCTCAGCCTGCCTCTTGTAGGCCTTCACCTTCAGTTGCAACTTGTCAACCAGATCTTGCAGCCTGGAGACATTTTTCTTGTCCTCTTCAGTCTGTAATATAAGGTGTTGAGGCGCAAATATAGATATTTGAAATGGTAACAGTAATGGAGAATTTGGTGTCTCTTTATTTTCAGTGATTGTACCTGATAGGTGAGCTCCTTCACTCTCCTCTCATATTTGCGGACACCCTTAACGGCATCTGCTCCACGTCTCTGCTCAGCCTCAACCTCTGTCTCAAGCTCACGCACCTTCAAAAAACGATGAGAAAATGAATGATTTTCCGTATTGTTTCAAAGTCTTGATTTAGCTGTACAAATCATAAGAGGACTTTCTTACCCTAGACTCCAGTTTCTGGAGCTGCTTCTTGCCACCCTTCATGGCCAGGTTCTCAGCCTCATCCAGGCGGTGCTGCAGGTCCTTAACAGCGATCTCCAGATTCTTCTTCATCCTCTCAAGGTGAGCACTCGTGTCTTGCTCCTTCTTCAGCTCTTCAGCCATCATAGCAGCCTGGAAGACATGAAGACATCATAACATGTTTGACAAAAACTAACAAAAAACATTTGAGTAAAAGGAACAACAATGGAATTCAACCCTACATCAGTGATGGCCTTCTTGGCCTTCTCTTCTGCATTCCTTGCTTCCTGAACAGTGTCATCCACTTCACCCTGGACCTGGACCAGGTCAGTCTCAAGCTTCTTCTTGGTGTTCATGAGACTTGTGTTCTAAAAGATAAAACCATTTTAATCACATGTCATATTGTTACATTATCTTAAATGTCATTATACCATTGAATTATTGAAGAAGTTAAGGAAATTTGATCACCTGAGAGTGCAGAAGTCCAACACGCTCACTGGCGTCCACCAACTCCTGCTCTGCGATTTTGCGGCTTCTCTCTGTCTGTTCCAGAGCAGCTCTAAGTTCCTCAATTTCAGCCATCATAAGACCGTTCCTGCGATCCACCATGGCAGCTTGTTCCTTGAAGTCTTCCTGGGCTCTAACAGCATCGTCGAGGTGCAGTTGTGCATCCTGGTGAAAATATCCTGAAATTATTCCTATGAATGACATAATATCCCTTCACTGACCGTGGTTTGTGGAGCAGCTCTGTGTCTTACGATACCTTTAACTGTGCCTGCACGTTCCTCAGCTGCTTCTGGGACTCAGCAGCCTGGCGGTTGGCGTGGCTCAGCTGAATCTCCATTTCGTTGAGGTCTCCCTCCATCTTCTTCTTGATCCTCAGAGCATCGTTCCTGCTCCTGACCTCAGCGTCCAAAGTGCTCTGCATGGAGTCAGTGATTCTCTGGCTGTTTCTCTTGATCTGCTCTATCTCCTCATCTTTCTCTGCCAGCTTCCTGTCCACTTCACCCTTAATCTGGTTCAGCTCCAGCTGGACACGGAGGATCTTGGACTCCTCGTGTTCCAGAGTTCCCTTAAAATATCAATGAATGAAATAATGATTTTTTTTTCCCCTGTAAAACTTGTATCGTTTGTCACAATATTTAGACAATCTTTTTTGATTCCTAATGTTACCTCAGCTTCTTCAAGAGCTGTCTGGATCTCAGACTTCTCTGTTTCCACCTGCTTCTTGGACTTCTCCAGCTCATGGATGCTCTTGCCTGTCTCACCAATCTGTTCAGTCAGATCTGAGATCTCCTCTGCAGATAGATACATTTGTTTAAGAGAGTAAACATAAATACTGTTTTCTTAAGCTTAAACTCGGTTGAATACAATTCAACGTTTACATGATGTAGAACTCACGTTGTAGGTTCTTGTTTTCCCGCTTCATTGTCTCCAGCTGATCCAGAGCTTCCTCATAAGAGTTCTTCATCTTGAACAGCTCAGTGCTGAGAGATCGAGCCTCCTTCTGTGCTCCCTCAAGTTCGGCCTGACCCTCCTCGTACTTTTGTTTCCACTCCGCCAACACCTGAATAACACAATTACTACAGTTCAGGACAGTCCATAGTACTATAAGGACATATATATGTATATCCATGTGTATATACATCCCTATCATTGTTCGTATGGCTTGGCCACACAAAGTAGAGTATGCTACCTTGTCAAAGTTCCTCTGCTTCTTGTCAAGGTTGGCAGCAAGACCGTTGGCCCTCTCCACATCAATCATGAGGTCCTCCACCTCACTCTGGAGCCTCTGTTTGGTTTTCTCAAGAGAGGCGCACTTGGAGTTCACGGCCTCGATCTGTTCCTCAGCCT